CCTATACTCAAATGTTTTCTACTGTTGCACTGAATAACCCCTAGAAGTTTGATCCCATAGTTCTGAAACACCCTGTATAGGATGACTCTCCGCGTATATATTTGGGCCGCGTCGGGTTTTACATCGCATAGATCAGAAAAAAATGGAAGGAGCGAGATAATAATTCGCGCTCAATCTCAAATTCGTGTCTTTCTGTTTAATTGCGTTGTGTGATTTCGGTTTTTTATTTATTTAACATTAACGAAACATCATCGTCGAGTTTAGTTTCGATTCGTCAAGTAACGCGGATCATTTATCGCGGATACGTAGTGATTGCTACAAGGTTTAAAAGCGGTTATCTTGCGATATGTAAGTGTGAAAGGGTGTAGGTAAAGAATGAAGTACAGCAAACGCTACGAAACACCTTGTATAGCTCCCGTATTGTTTTACTTAGCTACCTTAGTTTCGCGCGTGTGTGGAATATGTGCCGTAACACAAGCGCGTTTTCTCTAAAGCGGCGCTTGCGTCTGCGCGAACACATATGCGCAATATTGCACTTTTATTTCCAAGTTGAGCGCTTTTGAGTTTTTACTGGCTCTAAAAATCCGCCCATACGCCATTCTGCAATTGTCTGTGTGTTTCAAGTATCGTCAGTTTCAAGTTTCAAGTCTCAAGTCTCAAGTCTCACTTTCACCGAACCTACAAGATTAATTCCGAACCGCCGTGCGGTTGCTGTCATATAATATTTAATAATTTGCGCATAATACTTATCGAAGGCCCGATACAATTTGACCTTTCATCCGACACACATGTGTGCGCGATCAGCAGAAAGGGAATCGACTAGGGAAAAAAACCCAAAGATGTTAGGAGGATCGAACTTTTCGCATTGGTCTTTCTCGAAGCCGCGAGATTAATGGGTCTCGATCTCTTTTTTTTTCCCCCCCATAAGCCACTCTAATCTCTTTTTTCACTCTTGCTTTTTATTTATTACATAATGTTAATTTGTTCTACACAAGTAAATGCCGGAAGGTGTTATTGCAAAAGTGCAGATGTTTTTTAAAGTTCTTTTTAAGGTTTACGGAAAATAAAGATTTTTGTATTTGTAATTGTTTTACAGCAAAAGTCAGTATAAAGCTTCTGTTGGCGGTGGCGTTTGTTTTTTCCTTTAACATCGTAAATAATATCTGATAAATCAAGTTTTCGATAAATGCGGCGCAGATGTATCGGAGTCGCTCTATATATCGGAAAAAAGTCTTTCTTTTAGTAATTAATTGAATAAACCAGCCGAACGACGATTCGTCATCGTCGTCTTCTCCGCCGCTGTAATTTCTTCGTTCTCTCTCTCTCTCTCTCTCTCTCTTTCTCTCGAAAACACGCCACGTCTCATCGAATTGCCGATACTTTCCGATTACGTGCTCCGCAAAAATTATTGTGCCTGAAGGAACGCGTATAAGAGCCGCGCGCAGAAGACCAACGAAACGATCGGAAACAATAATCGGGCCGAGGGCCGGTCACAGATTCAATTACAAGAAATCGCCAAACTCTTCTCCGATCCGTGTCGTCTCCTTTTCTCCGCGAGCTTTCGGCTTGCTCTTTCGCGCCCCAACTCTAGACTCTTAACTTAATTCTACTTAGGTTTTGCCTCGGCCGACTGAACGGGCTGCTGCTGTCGAGCGAAGACTAATGTTCGTCTAACTGGTCGTTTCTCCTCCGCACACTGACTCATTTCTAGAGTTAACGAGTCTCGGAAGGGGGATTCTCTCCGGGCGCGTTTGCGACGCGAGCTTTACCTGCTTACATCGGCAGAAAATTAACTTCTCCGACTTTGCCTCAGATATGCCTCGGATATGCTCGGTCATCTTTCGTATGATGAAAAGTCAATCTGTCTCGATTAGTTCGCGGCCCCTCATCTAACGGATCCCTATTTTCCGCGTTAAACTTTCGTTTTTTTTTGTTTTGTTTTTGTTTACCTGAACTTTTTTTCACAAATGGCAAACGTTTACAAAAAGCATTCGAGCATTTCTTATCGCCTTTCAATCTGTCGTAAAAAAGCCGGGCTCTGTGTCACGTGATCGGAAAAACGCGCAACAATGGCGCGATACGTACGACGGAGTTAAATCGCGCGGTCCGATAGCCCTCGAGACGGGAGGGCTGCAGTTAATGGGACCCGTAAATAACCGGGCGGCTAGAAAAATCGGGAACGCGGCACATAAATTATTGGCAAGTCGGTGAGCCCCCGGAGTTTGTAAATTGTATTCCGGACCGGCGAGCCTACCTCCGCGCGCGCGTGATTGGCTCCACGGGGCACCCTAGACTCGTAAACCTGTCCTCCCGTAACGTTTCCCGGGTCAGTTACATCACAGAGCGGCTATAAAATCGCGGCCGTTTGTTGATTTCGACCCGATGTAGACCGCACTCCTCGGAATCTTCTAATCTACGAGAATTTCACGACGTCGATCGAGATTTGTGTTTTCGGAAATGAAGTGCGAGAACGCCGATCCTCTCGAGAGAGCAATGCAACAATACGGAGAGAATTTTAATCGATGTTAAAAAAAAAAAAAAAAAAAAAAAAAAACAATAAAAATTAGTCAGTCAGGCACGAAAAAAATGATTAGAAAGTCGACTGGGGGGAGGGGGAGAGGGGGGAGGGAAAAAGAGAGAATAATTTATCCGCCTTCGGTCGGAGCGTAACTGTTCTGTCAATATTTGTTACCGTGCTCGTAATTCATTTGAGCGAAGAGCGTTTTTCGAAGCGTCTGTTTGTATTACACGATTTTTCAACGTTCTCTTATAAAAGAGCAATAAAACATTTTTTATGGAAAATGCATACGTTGTGTAAATACTATTTGCTTTTCGTTGCTGTTACGCGCGTCGATTCGCGAAGCGAGAGATATTGCGATCTCGTAATGTGCGAAAACTTTTCAATTCATATCAAACAGAATGTGCGGATTTGATGCAGTTTCAAGATGTAATTGTCGCGTTAGTTCTTCGTTTTATTTTGTTACTCGTTTGTAAAACATTTTTGTATCAACGATAATCGAAACAGCAATCGCTTTTTGTTCGTTCTCCTTGTTTTACGTTACGTCGCTAATTTCACGACGCAAGTAATTAATATCTTCGCGGGACAATCACTCGAGCATCGCGCGATGCTCAAAAAGAGAGAGAGAGAGAGAGAGAGAGAGAGAGAGAGAGAGAGAGAGGAAGGATATGATACCGGTCGGAGCTTCGCAGAGATCGTCTCTGAGGATTGACATGTGCAGCCAGGCAACTTCTATGCGCGCGTAATTAGTACTAATTACCCGCAAGCCGCTGGGTCGCACGGGCCTCATCGGGTCGGACGCGCGATATATCACGATCTGTCCCTATGTCTCTCTCTCTCTCTCTCTCTCTCTCTCTCTTCGTCCCGCTCTCTCTACCCTCTTCTCGTCCACCCTTCGTGTCGCAGACGGACCTAACCTGCGCGACTCAACAGCGTTGCAATCTGCATCTAGCATGGAAAACGAGGCCATGTGTACCGTCGGGCCAGACGGTGACTCTCGGACAAAATGAGAGGAGGAAGGGCGAGAGAGTGCAGGCGGGAGGCCGAGGTCGAGAAAGCCGACGGTCACCCTTCTCCTCGAGCCGCCCTTCCCTCTCTCGGTCGCGACGCAAGGTTACTCCAGGAGTCGCGTCTTCGCCAAGAGCGAAGAAAGAAAAGAACAAGGAGAAAAAGAAAAACGTGTGAAAAACTCGCGAGGAGACGGCGCGGAAAAAGAATCGACTGCTGATTCCGGGAGCTTACCGGGAGCCTGTAAAATCCGGAGAGCCTGTGAATTCCTCCTCCTCTTCTCTCACTCGCTGGGGTGTGGTTCCTTCGCGTACGGGCGGGGCCAGGATCACCCCACGGGATTAAGGATTTTGGACTTGGCTAGTTTCGGACTAGGCTCGCGTTGATTTTTCTCTCTCTCTCTGTCTCTCTCTCTCTCTCTTTCCTCTCTCGGCGGCAGTCAGCCCGCGCGCGTGTTTGTATCTTCCTGTGTGTACAGATATCGTGCGGCCGTGCGTTTTTCACCGCGGGATCGACGCTGAAGAAAGGGAGGCAGGAAAGAAGCGGGGATGTTGAAAGCGCGTGTATATATGTGTGTGTACCTTTTTCTCTCTCTCTCTCTTTCTCTCTATCTCTCTCTCTCTTTCTCTTCCTCTTTCTTCTTTCCTCTTCTTCGGGCACACACCGACGTGGACGTGCGTATGCAACGTGTGTGTATGCGCGCGGCCGAATCTGTATCAGCGCGTGTAACGGTGGGACGCGATGACGATGGGTGTAGGGTAGTAGTAGGTGTACGATGGTGATCGGGATGGTCGACACGGGGATGTATGTGATGGTTTCTGGAAGAGAAGTGGAACAAGGATGAGGGGGATCGGCCTAGAGACGTGGTACTGCCTTCGCTAGGACATTGTTATTCCTAGTGACGCGTCCCGACGAAACCCGGCCGCTGCCAGCTCGATCCACCCGCGGCGGCCACCCCCGCCTATCTTCGCCTCGATGTCGGTTCTCCGGTTAGGACCCGCGAAGGTCCTCACCAGAAGAATCCCACCGCCGTTGCGCTTCAGTCACGTGTCTGGTCGCGTCGCGACATCGTGCATCGGGTAACGTTTGGGAAAAACGATGACGATCACGACCTCCTCTCGCCCGGCATCGATTCACCTGGTGCGTGCAGCACCAGCGGCGGCGTCGTCCGCACGGCTTTTCCGACGCACCGCGCGCGCGGATATTGCTACTCCGTTTCGAGGCACAACTAATGCGACTGATGTGCAAAATCAGCTCACTGTGAATTTCGGCGGGCACACGCTTAGATAAAATGTCGCGATCAAACAAATCCTCTTTGGAGCCCGCGACCTTCAGCCACGACCTTCGCGATCGATGACAAAGGTACAAAGCGAGATACAAAAGCGGAAACGCCGAGCGTGTGCGGTGCACTTTCACGTAGATCGCGCGACGAAGATCGTGGTGGAATCACACTGATGTCACTCGCGTCACCCGCTGTCCAGGTCGCGTATCAAGATCGACACGTCTCGATACTCGCGAGAAAAAAAAAAAAAAGACCACTTGCGGCACGACGTTTGACGCACAACGTTTTATGTTGTCGTAAATCACGAGCGGCTTCGCGTCTCGCAGATTCGTTTTTCGATGATTGACAGCAGCCAGTGTCAGAATACGCAGAGCCGCAAAGAGAGCAAGGAGTGGAACATTGCCGCTGATCAAACACTCGCACGCTCGACCCGAGTCGAGCGACTAACGAACGACTAAGCGCGACGAAAGACGGACGCGAACGCACGCGGATGTCTCACCAGGTCTCTCGTCGCCGCCGATCGCGAAACCCTGAAGAACGTGTAACGCGCCGCGAGGTAGTACGTCCAGGAGCCGCTTGTCTGGCGATGCTGCGCGGCGCCATGACAGAGCGTTCAGCTTCTCCACCAGCGTCCCCACCTAAACAACCCCCACCACGGGCGCGCCTTCCTACCCTCGCGCGACGGCAACCCCCTGCTGTTCCTCGCGCGCGCCGCGTCCGCCGACGCCGTTGCTTCCACCACGATGACGCGCGCCCCGCGTCATCCCTCGCCTCGTTTAACCCTCCGCGGCTCTACAACCCCCCTATCGTCTCTCGCGACCGACCGTCCTGCCTCGGCCCCACCAACGTAATATTGATCGGGCGGAAGGGCGGCATCCAGGAGCGTACAAATTTAGCGACAGCACCCCGAGGCAATTTTTCTCTCTCTCTCTCTCTCTCTTTCTCTCTCTCCTTCGCGCCTTATCGTCGGTTCTTTCGTGGCTTTTTTCTTTTGCAACTTCGGTTCATCTTTCCTGACATTTTACAAGATTGTTTTTTCATGAGACGCTTCTTGATGCTGGCGCTCTCTTTCTTTCACGAGGGCGCGCCTGCTTACCCGCAACAAAAAAAAAAAGGCACGTCTCGCGGAAAGCGCTGCACGTGGAGCGCTGCGTGCGGATAAACTACGAAATGTTGTAGTTACGCGAAACGTAAGTGTGGTCCGTCCTCTCTCTCTCTCGTGAGAGCGAACGAGCGATATTTCTTTGCGGAGGAGATTATTTGACATTTGGCCGCGGACGTAAATAACAAGCGCGCGGTTGAAGTTTACGAGATGCTGAAAGAAGAGTGAAATGTCACGTAATGAATAAGAAATTGCGACTCGAGCATTAATTTCTCCGGGAAAACAAAAATCCTGTTGTGCTGGATGAGAGAACTTTCGAGTGGTCTATTTCGGTAATAACATATATATATATATATATATATATATATTTGTTATTATATATATATATATATATATACGCGCGCTTTAACATCAATTACCGCACGATGCGCAATCATTTCGAAACCGCTTCAAAGTCACGGTCGGGGGTTTTAAAATGACTTGGCGCTATCGTTGATAACTTCATTTCAATTTACGGCAATTTGGGTACCGAGAAAACTTGTTACAGAGTTCAGTTTGCCTAGGCCGCCACCGAATAGAAGGACTTGAGGTTTGTCTTTTAAAACTAACTAGACGCGGGGACGTAGAGAGGGAGGAACGGGGGAGGTAGAAAATATATATTCCGTCTCTGACATGATGACGCTCGGTTTTACGGGAGAGAGAACTTCCTGTTATTATCGGTCGTGATTAAACAGCTAGAATTAAATCACATTCGAGCAACCTCCTCGAGTAAACCTCCTCTCCGCCGGTAAACCATAAAAGAAAATACTGTTGTTCTCCTTTCGGAAGGTTTGCGCGGCGATAAAAAGGATCGTAGGCGTTTCCGCGCGCGCGGCGTATTCCCGCTGTGTATTATCCTGTGTATTTTCCTCATCCGAAACGTTGCTCCGAGTGGCGTTTTATACGCGCTCCGCGTAATATAAGGTAAAAGGGACCGGGAATAGCCATTCTGCAATCGTATCTACATTCGCATCGACCGAAAAGAGAATCGGGCGCCGAAGGGTCGAAATATGAAGCTCCCCTGGTTTTACATTCGAGCGATTCGCGCCGACGAACAAAGAGAAAGATACGCTTTTTATGTTTTCATAACTTTGACACCTGCCGCGCACGCCGCGCGCGACTACACGTATAAACGCGAGAAGTAAACAAACATTTGCATAATTTCTCCGCTGAGTGTATATTATTTTCTCCGGCTTCAACCGCCTCTGCCTTTGGAGAACGGGGTCGGAGGAGAAGGGGAGAGAGAGCCGGTAAACGCGCGAGTCCCCCGCACGCCAAGTGCGGCGCTAAATTTAATTAAGCACGCACCAGACTCCAAGCCGGTCGAAAGCCGAGTATATAGCAGCTTTCTTAATTTATTCATCCTCGGCGGGGAGCCCGACGTCAGGGAGAGAGAGAAACGTAATTTTGCGGATCTTTCCCTCCCCCGAAGGTCTTCACTGTTTAGGCAACAGTGCGTGACGTTGCCACCGCGCCCTACGCGCCGGCGTGGCAAACGCTTCAAAAAGTTTTATACGACCGCGCGCGCGCGCGCGCCTATTTAATTTCTACTTTCGCGTTCGCGCTTCGTTTACGTCGCGATCTTACATATATATATATATATATTCGGCGCTTTTGATGAAAAGATATGCGGGCTTTAATTTGACGTGCGTCTTTTTTTTATAAAGGTTTTTTTGAGACTTAATTGCGTGCGCGTAATTGTCGCGAATATTTCGGACCTACGTACAACGACGGTTTGAAGCGCACACGCGTGTATTAGAATTATAAAAAATACATATGTCTCTGTGTACATGTGCAAAAAAAAAGGAGAGTATTAAAACCGCGGTTCGCGATCAAAGGAGCTAACAGACCAAAAATTTCGCGGCGGTCTGGCCTCGTGTACGAATATCAACGCGGCGGCGGGTCTTTCGATGAAACCGTCGAAAGAACTAACGGAGTGTTCGCGGAGTAACGTTCTCGAATGGGATTGATTCGCATAAAAATTACGAGCTTTACAGAGATCAAATGTACGTACATGACCGCGTTTATTTCGAGAGAAATGCAAATTTAATTTTGAAGTTGGAAATATACATAAATATCCGTGTAACACACACACACACACACACACACACACACCACTGTTATCATTATTGAAAACGAAATAATAAATTTGAAATAATTAGTGTGAATTTAATTGCCGCCATAAAATTATCGCGTCAGATAAAACGAGCTGAAATATTTTCATCGAATTTAATTCTCCCGCGAATATTTTTACGATAAACGCAAATGTTGTAATGCATATATATTTCGAGCGTGGGATAAATCGCGCCGCGTGACAAGGGAATGCAAAAACTTTCGCTGTCCCGGCACTCTCGATACAAAAGCGATGCCGCCGTCGACGTCGGCTCGCGTCGGAATTGTTTCGAGCACTTTACAAGAACGGCGAACTTTTCGAGAGCCGCGAGAGAAGAGGAGGAGGAGATGCACCGTGCCATCGCGCTGCCTGTTGTTACTTCGATAAATTTCAAATACGCCCGAGTACTACACGAAGAGGAGCGTTTGCCAGGACGGGATGGAAAGACGAGAGAGAGAGAGAGAGAGAGTTTGGAGAGAAAAAACAACATTGCTGCTTTTTCCGCGACGGTCGCGAATTTTTCAAACCTCAAATTAGCCGCGCGGCTTCGCCGCGATTGTCCCGCGATCCCTAAACCGAACTTTGGAACACAAAAGTCGGACGACAATATTGAAAAGTTTCGAGAACACTTGGTCAAGGAAATTTCATCCACCGTATCCACGAGAATCGAACTGTAGTTCATTTAATTGCGATCGACGAAAAATAATTGAAAACAATTGGCGAGACGCGTCAAGCAACACTCCCGCGCGTGTAGAATAAATTTCCATTGCGTCTCTCTCTCTCTCTCTCTCTGACTGTGAGAATAACATAATTGAATAATTATATGCTACATTTCGGTCGAAGTCGGCGCGCTCGCTTAAAATTGCAAATTCTCGTTAAGGAGCCGGTGCGCGCAGTTTCCAAATTCAATCTACGTTAAAGCGATTATCACCTTTCGAGGTCAATCTTGATTACTCTTGTATTATTAACTAGAATTTACCTTCAGAGCGCGCCGGCTCGGATCCTACAACCCGCCTCAGGATCTGAAACAAGAAGAAACAAGGAAGGTTGAGCTTAGAGAGACGTGATACCGAGAGAGAGTCGCCGTTAGAACTTTTGCAATTTACAGTCTGGAAAATCCCCCGCCCCTCCCCCTCCCCCGTAAGAGAACGATCGCATGACCAGAGAAAGGGCAAAGGGGTAGGAAGCAGACGAGCACAGAGAGGCGCGAGCGAGCGCGCGGTGGTGAAAAACGCCGTGGGACACGAAAGGGGGGAAGAAGGAACAAAAAAAAAAATCTTCCCCGGGGTAAGAGTCCTTGGACTCTTTTCGATTCGGCAATCTGGTTATACCAAGACTTAATCGAAAAAGATCGCCGAGACTTATCCTGCGCTTCGAGCGATCGAA